ATTAATTAATTCCAATTTTAATTAATTATTGACACATTTAATTAATTATTTAATGGTGTATTTAATTAATTCATTATGGCAGTCCTGGCGTTCCATAAGCTTGAAGGCCTACATAGCAAATTATTAGAGATAGGTTGATCATATTTAAGATTGACACATTAATTAATAGCAGGACTTCTTTGTGCAGTCTTGTATGAATGCAGTCAGGAAGACATGTTGATGGTTTGGAGGAATTAATTACTGAAGTTAACTAAGAAAGATCAATTGAAGAAAAAGATTCTAAAGACTTTCTAATATGTTATTAAACAGAAAGGCAGTTTTGCATTTTGTAGTTCTGTTTCTGCTTATTACACAGAAACTACCACCAGTAATTGAGTGGTAATGATTTACAAATGCCGAGCTGTAATAAAAAGTGCTGCCATAGAAAACTATGTATTATTAGAAAGAGAGAGACATGTTTGATCTTGTAACACAGAGGTTCCCAAAGTGGGGGACATGCCTAAGAAATACCGCAGTGTCATTGCGGTATGAATTTTTTAAAAAAAGAACGCTTGGACACTGCTAGCATAATGGACAGGTTTTTGACAGGGCTCCCACAGAAACGCAAAGCAGAAGATGAAGCATCGCCAAATATGCTTCCAAATCAACTTCCCAACCCAAAGACTAGAAAATATGATGAAGCATACCTTCCCTTTGGTAGGTCTCCCTGACAGAATTTGTTTCCCATGCGTCGGGAGCATGCGCTGGGCTTTCCAAATCAAGGACAAACAGTATCCCACAGTTGTTTATGTTTTTAAAACCATTTTGCATAGAGGCATTTTTTGAAAAATGTATTGATAGCTATGTTGAATATTATTACACAGGAAGAAAAGCAACTACACGTAAAATAATTACATTCTGACGCCTCTGCCTTTCTAAATGGAGGGACAGTAACTGTGTGTGTATATGTAAGCATGTAACAACTGCAGATAGTAAGATTAACAGTATTTTGTCTCTATTCGCCATTGTAGAAATTCATCTCATGTAAACAAGAACGTGGCGCACAGCGTGATGTCAAAAAAGGCAAATACCTTTGATGTTGCGTGAAAACTGAGTTTTTGAAAATCTCCAACCTGACAGGAGTTTTTAAAAATCTCAGTTTACGGTGATCCGAAACGCCGTTTACCTGTGGACAAAAGCTCCATGCATAAATGCATAAAAAACCTGCGTTTTCAAAAATATCAGTAGCATAAAAGAGTTAATAGTTCATTTTATTGCTACCTATAATTTATTGCAGTTTAATGTATTTGTTTGTTTACTAAATGTTTGAGGTGTGAAATAAACTGCAATTGAGTTTGAAAACAAAAAATATGGGTGTGTGTGGTTAGAGGATCTATTTGTGCTGGGGGATGGGGTTTAGGTGGGGGGGGCAAAATTTTCTTGTAAAACAAAGGGGTGCCTAGCAAAAAAACAATTTTAGGAACCACTGTTGTAACAGGATGTATATTTGGCCTATGTAAAATTGTGTATCTTTCTGCCTTTGTGCTCTCTACTAAAAATTTAGAATTATTTGCACATTGCTTCTAAAATGCAAAGGACAAGTATACCACATTCATAAACTCTGATGAATGCTCTAGAAGTTATATCTTTAAATTGTCATTTGATCACAAAACAGTGTGGCAGCCATTCAATAATAATGTTGTTTATGCACTTTTAATTCAACACCAGTAGAATATATCATAGCAGAGGCATAAAAAATTGTATTCATTAAGTGTAACATCTGCTTCCATATTAATTTCCAGATTCTATCACCTGTGTGAGATGTCTACCTGAGTTTTGGTCAAATGAAAGAAGAGATGC